TTCACTGGCTCAGTTTCTAAACCTCTCCTTAGGCAAACCACTGGAAGGTGAGGTGGTTTTCCAGGGATAAAACACTCAGGTGTGTGTGGCTACAGGCAGTGGAATTGGGGTTTTGGATGTTACATTCAAACAATCAATTGTATTTAAAATATACAAATATTTTATAAATAGACATCTATTTTATAAATATGTTATGGGAGCTGCTAGGACATTCTCCTGGTATTTATTTATGCTAAGGGAGCTGCCAGCTCCTGGCTTTCCCACAGGGAATGTGCCAGCAGAGTTGTGTTACATCCCCTTCCTTCCAGCATAGCTCAAGGTCCTCCTTGTTTCCCTTAAGTTTCTGAAGGACTGAGGCAAAAAGCAGCTCAGAAATAAATAATGAGCATCCTGCCACTTCAGGACATGGCTTCTCCCAGCATTTCTCTGGTTTCCATCATGGCTGAGCCATTTGGGATGATCCCGAAGCCAATCCGCTGCTTACATGTTTATTTTGGAAGCTCCTTAGAAACTTCCAGTTCTTGGCAGTGGCTTTGGAAGGAGCCTGTTAAACTGAAACAGGTGCTGCTGCTTTCCTCCCCCTCTGCTGGAAGCAGATTTTCCTTCCTTTCATGCCATGCAAAGGTGAGGGATGGAGCTTTGGGAAGGCTCCTGTCGGTGCATCGGTGTGGATGCAGGAGCCTGCTGCCTCCCCAGCTTGGGCAGGCTCTGGGAAGGGCTGGAATGGAAAGGAATGGGGTGGATTCAGGGGAAATGTGTGGAATAGCTGTGGGGTACGAAAACCCTGATCCTGGGGTGGATTCCCATGTTAGGATTGGTCTGGGACTCTCTTGGATGTCACCACCACAGGCTGGAGATGTGCAGCAGCAGCAGTGGGTACCTGGCCTGAGCAAAGGCTCTTTGTGAGACACATCCAACTGGGAAAAATATACATTTCTTTCTACATGGCCTTAAGTAGCTTAAAACCAGGGTTTTTTTCTGATTGGGGAATTTGTAGTTGTAATGAAGCATCCCACTGTAAAGCCATGTTGGTCATGTGAAGCTGAATATCCATTTACCCCAACTATCCCCAAAAAGTTAAGGCAGACATGTGACAGACATGTGACACTGCTGACATATTAGAGGGCACCACATTACTGCAAACAGAAAAAGTTCTGGTCAAGAAATAAAATTAAATTTAAAAAATATAAAATAAAATAAGATAAAATAAAATGAAATGAGATAATAAAATAAAATGAAATAAAATAAAATAAAATAAAATAAAATAAAATAAAATAAAATATGAAATGCACACTAAACGCCAACAGCAGCAATTGGTTGCTGACCAGGTAAAAATACAAAACTCTCCACTTTGAATCTTTTGGGATGCCAGGCAGCACCCAGCATAATTCAGGAATGAAAACAAGTGCAGTGACGGACTCTGATGAAAGTGGAAGCAATTTAAACAATATTAATGTGGTTTAAATAAATGTTTCTCATTATTCCAGCCCCACTGCAAAAAAAATTTTAAAAAAAAGACATTGGTACTTTTTAAGGAAAAATAAAAAAAAAATTCTGCAGGGTGAAAACAAAGGAGTCAGATTTCTTATATATTTTGTTTAGGGCTTGGAGTTTTTTATTTTTCAATGAACACAAGTTATTTTCCTGTTTAAAAGTAAAATTGCATCGTGTTGATCACAAGTTTAAGACTTGAGCTCTCCATGGGCAAAGCAGTGGAAGGCACAACAAGGCCACTTTGGCCACCACCCTGTGTGCTGCTGGTGCCTCTGTGATCCTTTCCTTGGGGGTGGCAGGACATCAAGAAAGGCCCTTTTTCCTTCTTCATTCCCAAACTTCAGGCCCAGGTGGTTCATATGACTCTCAGGTGTGTGTTTTTCTCTAAATTTCAACTTGTTCCTGTCCACCTTGACTCAGAGGAGCTCAGAGATCCGTGCCTGGAGTAGGGAGTTGAGAAACCTTCCAAGAAACCCGACCCTGAGCAGAGGGATTTCCTTCCAGGAGGGAATTTCCCATGATGTAACTCCTCTGCTCTTCTTAACAATGTTTTCAGACCACTTGGACTCTGCTCTTTGAAAGGTACTTAAGGCTTTGAAGCCTGAGAAAATCCTTTAAAAGGCAGCTGGTGCTTTCAGGGGGATATTTAATGCCGAGGTAGTTTGTGGAAGTTGTGCTATGCAAGTTTGGAGAGGGAAAGGGGAGGAGGGAAGGGCAGGGAGGGGAGGAGGGCCAGCAGAAGACACCCATGCATGAGTTATGTGCCTTCTTTTTCTTTATTAAAGCTCTCAAATTCTCAGGAATAGCTGTTGCCATCTCTAGCCAAGCAAAATTAATGTGAAGGTTTTCCTCTTTTCTATTTTCAACTCCCTGCCAGTTCGAAGCTCTGGCTGTGTGTGTTGGCACGTGGGGTGTGTGTCCTGCAGGAAAAGAAGTCAGTGCATTCCTGGAGAGCAAATTCATTCCTGCCTTGCAAAGCCTTCCCTTTCCTGGCCAAGGTGGGGGTGGCCCTGGAGGTGGCAGGTGTTGGGAAAGCCTCTGGTGCTGAATTGCTGGGAGAATGGCCCCACCAGAAACATCTGGAGATGTTCAGCAGTGGCAGGGCACTGCCATTAAAAGCAGCAATTAAAAAGAAAATTAAAAATAAATTCTCTCCAAACACTCCTTGCCAGGGAGCACCTGGAGAAGTGAGGAATGTGTGTGTGATGGTTGGGCTTGGAATGGAACCTTAAATCCCCCCCAGTGCCACCCCTGCCATGGCAGGGACACCTCCCACTGTCCCAGGGACACCTCCCACTGTCCCAGGCTGCTCCCAATGTCCAGCCTGGCCTTGGGCACTGCCAGGGATGCAGGGGCAGCCCCAGCTGCTCTGGGCACCTGTGCCAGGGCTGCCCACACTCACAGGGAACAATTCCCAATTCCCAATCTCCCATCCAGCCCTGCCCTCTGGCACTGGGAGCCATTCCCTGGCTCCCAGAGTCTCCCTGGCTGCTCCCCACTTGTTTTGGGGGTGACTGATGCTGGTTGGGTGCCCTTGGGCCGCTCCTCACACAGAGCCCAGAGCTGCTGCTCCCAGAGCCGTGAGGAGATGGAGCTTTTCTGTTTTATTGGTGATATTACAGCCCAAATGATTTCCAGACTCCCAAGAATGGGAAACAGGATGATGTGAAAAACATAAGGAGACCATAGCTTTGAGCACTCGTGGTGCTCTTCTGGGTAAATGGAGCAGAAAAGTCTCCCCACTTCTGTGCCAGCTTTCAGAGGAGTTGTTGTTATTATATTCTCTCATTATTATTTTCTTGTAGCTCCAGCAATTCACAGTAAAACAGAGCCTTATTCTGCTGTGTTGTACCTGTGTGAAATAATGGATTATCCATGGTGTTGGGAGCTTGGTTTGAAGTCCATGCCATGGGGATTTGTGCACAAAAGTTTGTGCATGGATTCTCATCCTTTTTCTTTAAGTAAAGATATTATTAATCAGAAAAACAGCACAAAGTGGACACCAGGTTTAAAAAGCAACCTGATCCTACTTCACATACATAAAGGAAAGTCAAAAGCGGCAATTTGATAAATAAATGGAAAGAGAAATAAAATTGCACTTAACTCCTACCAAACTGGATTTTTTGGGAGTTTCGGGAATTATTTTGGGACATTTTGGGCGGGAATTTGGGAAATTTTTGTGGATTTTTGGGGGAATTTCAGGGATTATTTTTTGTAATTTTGGGAATTTCGGGGATTATTTTGGGAATTATTTTGGGAATTATTCTGGGAATTCTGGGAATTTTTTTTGAAATGTTGGGAATTATTTCGGGGATTTTTGGGGGGAATTTCAGGGATTATTTTGGGAATCTTGGGGGTTATTTTGGGAATTATTTCAGGAAATTTGGGACTTTCAGGGAAAACCAGAAGACACTGCTGTTGAGGTCTAGCACTGAGGAACCTCTGGCTCTGGCTTTATTTCCAGCTGGGAGAAAAAGCTGCAAGAATCAGGAAGCTTTTGCTGGTGGTGGTGGTGAGGGTTCTGGATGTGAGAAGGTTGCTGGCAGGGGTTGCTGTTCTGGCCATCACCCTGGGTGTTGTTGTCTCCATCATTTCCCATGGATGCACTGTGTGTTCCCTGCTGTGCTCACACAGGTCTCTGCAGTTCTGAGAGACCCCTGCCCCACCACACCCCAGCCTTGGGAAGCACCAGGAGAGCACCTCCACCCCATTCCCAGCACTGCTGTGCACCCCTGGAAACATCCAGCTTGGAAAACACAGCTGGACCCAAATCCAGGGCTCCCTTATTCACTGCTCTCATCCACACCTTGCTCTTCCAGAGGGAAAGAAAAAAGAAAAAGGAGCAAGGGAAAAAGCCCATTTTTATTTACAGGTGCTTTCTGTTGGCTCACTTTGCTCCTCAGCCCCTGCAAGCACGAGCTGCCACTGAAAATCAAATGAATTCTCAATTGCTTCCTTCCAATTCAATCAGGGGAGGGAAGCAGAGACCTGCCACGGCGCTGGAGGAAGGGAGAGCTGCTTCCTTCCCTCCTTCCCCAGGGATGGCCTGGGGACAAGGGACTGCCCCCCCAGGGGACACGGAGGAGGAGCCTCACCTCCATCCCTCCTGGAAGCACAGGGATGTGTCACCCACCTGGCCTGGGTGTGTTCCTGCTCGCTGACATTTCCCACGTGGCTGTTCCCTCCTACCTGCGTTTTCTTACAGGTGTTCCTAACACTGTTCTGCACTTGTAGGGGTGATGAGGGTGAGGTTTTGTTCCTGCTCTGAGGAATGCCTTCACTTTTCTCTGAGAAGAAAAAAGGTCTGGCTCCAGATTAAATGTTTAGAGGTTTTCATTTTGCTGATACAGAGTGTGAATACTCGGTTTTATCCCAGCATCACAGAGTTGTTTTGCTTGGAAGGGACCTTCAAGCCTGTGTTGTTCTACTCAAGGTTGTTCAGAGCCCTGTCCAGCCTGGTTTTGTCATTTTTCACCAGTGTAACGTTGCCTTTCTCTGTGTCTCAGCAGGGCAGAGCCCTCGGCGCTGTGCGAGGTGTGCGAGGGCGCCGAGGAGATGCCGGAGCCCCTGCAGCAGTGCACAGCCTGGCTGCGAGCCTACTTCTGTGAGCCAGGCAGCACAGGGAGCCTGCCCGTGCCAGCCTTCCACCACCCCCTGCTCCAGAGAGGTCAGTGCCACCCTCCCTGCCCTCTGCCAGCAGCAGCTGCCCCCATCTCCCCATCCTTGCCCTAGAAAGTGACGGGGTTCAGCTGAAAGGTTGGGCTGAGAACACACCTGGGGGGCTGTGAGCTGCTCTGTGAGCTGTGGCTCCAGAGGGGTCAGTGCCACCCTCCCTGCCCTCTGCCAGCAGCAGCTGCTCCCCATCTCCCCATCCTTGCTCTGTAAAGTGGCTCAGCTGGAAGGTTGGGCTGTGAGCACACCTGGAGGGCTGTGAGCTGCTCTGTGAGCTGTGGCTCCATGAGCTGTGGCTCCAGAGGGGTCAGTGCCACCCTCCCTGCCCTCTGTCATCAGCCACTGGCCCTCATCTCTCCCTCCTTGCTCTGTAAAGTGACATGGTTCAGCTGCTGACACTGGAAGGTTGGGCTGTGAGCACACCTGGAGGGCTGTGAGCTGCTCTGTGAGCTGTGGCTCCCTGAGCTGTGGCTCCATGAGCTGTGGCTCCATGAGCTGTGGCTCCATGAGTGTGGTTCCCCCCTGCTCCAGAGGGGTCAGTGCCACCCTCCCTGCCCTCTGCAGGGAGCCACTGCCCCCATCTCCCCATCCTTGCTCTATAAAGTGTCGTGGCTCAGCTGAAAGGCTTGGGTTGGGTTGTGAGCACACCTGGAGGGCTGTGAGCTGCTCCATGAGCTGTGGCTCTGTGAGCTGGGGCTGCCTAAAGCAGCTTTTGGCCACCAAGAGGGGGGCTTGAGGCTTTGCCATCACTGTCCATGGCTCCCTGGCAGGAGGGGGCTGTTGAGGCCGTGGAAGGCTCTGGTCCATCCCTAGGGCACATCCTTCCTCTCAAACCTCTCAGGGCTGCCCCCAAACCAGCAGCAGTGCTTGCACCAAGGAATCTCATTCACAAAGCCAAAAGGAATTCAGGAGCCCGTTTAGGAAAACAAATGGAAAGAAAAAAAAAATTAATGTTTTATTTATCTATTTTTTTAATGTTTTGTTTGAAAATTTTAATGAAGAATTTTTAAAAGGAAAAATAAGGATATTTGTTAACAGGAAGCTTCCTGAGGGAAACAATCAGCACCCTTGGATTTTTGAACAAAGGAAGGAAAGTTCTTCAGCACCATCCAAGCTGAGAACTCAGCCAGGGGCTGGGCAGGGCTGGGGCATGGCTGGTGGCTGTGAGCATCACCTGAGGGTCCCTGCAGCTCCCTGGCCTTGTGAGGGTGGCCCTGGGGTGCCACTGCCCACTGCTCTGGGGGGTTTGGGTGTGCCCAGCTGGGCTGCAGGGCAGTGTTCTCCTTTCTGCATATGCACATCCAGGGTTTTTTAATTTATCTCCCTCATTTGCTCCTGGCCTGGCCCAGGTCTGTGTGTGTGTGTGTTTTATTGGGGGAAGGCTCCTACATCATGGAAACATTAATGAAGAATTAATTGGCTCAAATCACAACGGTGTGAGAGCATTTCTGTTCTTCTGTCACTTTCTCCTACTGATACTTTCATAAAACTGAAAAAAATTACGTGGGAAGGAACGTGGAAATAAATGTGAAAAATTGGAAGGAACTGGTTTTAAAAGTTATTTAGGAGAAAGGTGATGTAAAAACCAAATTCTGATGGATTGCACTTCAGTTTATGTGCACATCAGAATTGCAGCTTTGCTAAATTAGGAATTTGGTATTTGTTTGCTTTTACACATTTACATTTGAAAGTGCCTGCTTGTTTCTCCAGGCACTGAAAAACGCAGAGCAAACATCAGTGAGAGCTGAGGATCCAAAGCCAGAAAGGCTTTTTCTCATCACTCTGATTTTCTTACATTTCTGTTCAGCACCAGGGGCCCTGAGCAGGCTGGGGCAGTGGGAGGTGTCCCTGCCCATGGCAGGGGTGGCACTGGAGGAGCTTTCAGGTCCCCCCAGCCCAAACCAGGCTGGAATTCTGGGATTCCATGATCATCAAAACCTCTGGCCCCTTTTCCCCCCTTTCCCTGTAAATGTGACCGTGTTCAGTATTGCTCTTTGAGAGAGGATTCAAATTCCATCCTCAAGTGCTTTTGTAATCAGGACTGACTGTTGCATAATTTCTTCCTAATCAGTGCTTACATCAAATTTTATTTTATCTTTCTGCACTAACTTTATCTGGGGACCAGAAGGGTTTTGGTTATGCCAAAAAAACACATTAAAAAGGTTTCTCATCCAACAAAAAAAATGTGTAAAGTGCTTTTGGGATGAAAAACTTCTCAATTCATGGTCAGTTTGCTGCAGCTGCTTTTGTGCCAGCTTTGAAGACCTCATTCCTTGTGGAGAGAAAAAATCATGACAATCAACTCTGACATAACAAAAGCAGAGAGATTTGCAGATTCAGAAAGTAGAGATGATCTGCTTTATATTCATTAAGAAATTCTATAAAAATTCAGTATCTGCTGTTTCTCCCATATCATAAATCTTTCCAAAGTGCCTTTAATTTTCTAAATTACTGTTAAACAGGGGAAATGTGTTTAAAAGCACTTAAAATACAAAATCAACCATTCCTCTCTTACCTTGGCATTGGCAAAGGTGGAATCTGAATCTTGAGGCAGGCAGGAGAGTCATGGAATCACAGAACCATTAGGGTTGGAAAAGACCTTTAAGATCACCCAGCCCAAGCCTTCCCAGCCCCAGCACCACGCTCACCACTGATCTGTGTCCCCAAGTGCCACATCCATGTGGGTTTTGAGTATTCCCAGGGATGGTGGCTCCACCACTGCCCTGGACAGACTGTGCCAGGGCTGGACAGCTTCTCCATGAAGAAATGTTCCCTAACCTCCAACCTAAACCTCCCTGGCACAGTTTGAGGCCATTTCCCCCACTCCTGTCCCGTGTTCCCTGGGAGCAGATCCTGACCCCCACCTGATTCCCTGTCAGGGGTTTGTGGAGAGGGAAAAGTTGGGTTTCCCAACACCTCCAGGAGCTCTCCCCTTACTGGCCCTCCAGCTTATATGCAGCCAATAGATTTAGTTTTAACATAATTGAAAATGTGAAACATAATTTCAAACAACCTGTGTCATGGCCAGCATTCAGTGTGGAATTTCACTGAGCAAAGTCAGCTTCTCCCACTCCTCTGAGAAAAACCCCTGCACATTCCTAATGGGAAATGATTAATTGCTCTTAATGGAGCCTGGTCATTAGCTCCCTTTCTGTGTAAGGAAGAAAATTGGACTGGTGTTGTTTTGGGTCATTTGTGGGTCTGGGACACGGGGAAGGCGACACTGACTCGGCCACTCCTGAATTTCCTGCCCTCCCTTTGTGGTGCTGTGGAGTAGGGTGGCACAGGATGGCACAGGGTGGCACAGGGTGGCTGTGCTGTGTGTTTGCAGTGGCACAGGGGTGGCACAGGGGTGGCTGTGCTGTGTGTGTGCAGTGGCAGGGTGGCACAGGGTGGCACAGGGTGGCTGTGCTGTGTGTTTGCAGTGGCACAGGGTGGCACAGGGTGGCACAGGGATGGCACAGGGGTGGCACAGGGTGGCTGTGCTGTGTGTCTGCAGTGGCAGTGTGACACAGGATGGCACAGGGATGGCACAGGGATGGCACAGGGGTGGCACAGGGTGGCTGTGCTGTGTGTGTGCAGTGGCAGTGTGACACAGGATGGCACAGGGATGGCACAGGGATGGCACAGGGTGGCACAGGGTGGCTGTGCTGTGTGTGTGCAGTGGCACAGGGGTGGCACAGGGCTGTCTGTGCTGTGTGTTTGCAGTGGCAGTGTGGCACAGGGTGGCACAGGGATGGCACAGGGATGGCACAGGGTGGCACAGGGTGGCTGTGCTGTGTGTTTGCAGTGGCAGTGTGGCACAGGATGGCACAGGGGTGGCACAGGGTGGCTGTGCTGTGTGTCTGCAGTGGCAGTGTGACACAGGATGGCACAGGGATGGCACAGGGGTGGCACAGGGCTGGCTGTGCTGTGTGTGTGCAGACCAGATGGCTCATTAGAGCACAGGACAGAGGAAATGGGAGACACAGCAGAGTTTTCCTTCGCCCTGTGACGAGCAGCGGTGTCGCAGACATCTTTTGTGAAAATCCTTTTCTTTAGGATTTTTTCCTGCTGAGAAGCTGAGAAGTTTCAGCAACAAAATGTACCCAATGGTTACCTGCTGCTGTGGAATGCAACAGGTGCATCTGGGATTGGCCCATCTTAGATGTTTACAATTAATGGCCAACCACAGCCCAGTCAGTTTGGACTCTCTGTCTGAGACACAAACCTTTATTATTCATTCCATTCTATTCTTAACTTAGCCAGCCTTCTGAGAGGAAACTTTTTCCTTCTATTCTTTTTAGTATAGTTATAAGGTAATATATATATCATAAAATAATAAGTCAGCCTTCTGAAATATGCAGTCAGATCTACGTCTCTTCCCTCATCCTGAAAACCCCTGTGAGCTCTGTCACGCAGCAGCCCTGGGGTTCTGCTCCTTGCTGTCCTCACTGGATGAGCCCTTTGCATTCCTGAGGGTTCCTCCATCCCCTCCTTGTCCTGAGGGTGCAGACCTGGAGCAAAGCTGAGCTCTCCCCTCAGCCCAGCCCAGTCCTGCTCCTACCTGAGCTGTCAGTTCCTGGGTCAGGCTCAGAGGTCTGGAGGTGGCATTAGGGGCATTGATGGTTTTGAACCGAAGGAGGGTCAGTTTACATTGGATTTTGGGCAGGAATTGTTCCCTGTGAGGGTGGGCAGCCCTGGCACAGGTGCCCAGAGCAGCTGGGGCTGCCCCTGCATCCCTGGCAGTGCCCAAGGCCAGGCTGGAGCAGCCTGGGACAGTGGAAGGCGTCAGGAACACGATGGACTTCAAGGTCCCTTCCAGCCCAGAGCATTCCATGATTCTGGCACATTCCATGGCAAAGGCAGAGCCCAGCTGTGCAGAAGGAGCCAGGAGGAGCAGCTGAGGATGGAGAGCAGGCAGGGGAGCCGTGCAGCTGAAATCCCCCGTGCCTGGTGTAGGTTATTCATCCAAGAGGGGATATTGATGAAGCACCTCATGCATAATGGGAGCCT